GTGTTCCCAGGCTCCTGACTGCTTTTGTCGTCTGCTCCTGGGCAATCCAAGGTCTCCATTCCTGTTTGGATAATTCAAGATGAAGCCGCACGAATGTTCCAATATTTTGGAGAAGCTGTCTTGGTCATACCTTATAAAGACGGGCAACATTCACACGACCGCCTTAATCACCTTCGTGCAGTCCAGTGTTGTTTCGAGTGAATATGTAATCTACGCACCCAAGTCCTTTTGATGGTCAACTTGTCGCAGTTTTGTACGGGGCTAGAGGCCTTTTTATGGTCAAGTTAAGGAAAGTTGCACTCACGTTGAAGAGCATATGCCAGCGCTTCAACCAATCCGCGAGCCAGTTTAAGTTTATTTGCAGATAGACTCTGGCTGACCTATGATTAACAACATTTCAAAATTTAATATAATCGGCGAATAGGATAGCATCACAGTCTTTGACTCCGACGCAGTTATTGGCGAGAACAAGGAATAACATGAGGCCTTCAACTGATCCCCGTGGAACGCCACTTACCATGGTTACCTCTGAGGGCTGCTGACGCCCGACTTGCACTCATTTGGACTGTTCTCACGAAAAGTTCTGGATCCATTTAAGAAGGCCTCCACAAAAACCTACGCTGCGTAGTTTATGCAGAAAACGTTGGTGAGGGACGTTGTCGCAGGCCTTTTTAAGGTCGATGTAGATGCATGCACTGCATTGGGTTCTTGTCATGCTTTCGTTCAGCATTCAATTGAAATGAGCATATTCGTAAGACGGGGTCTAATAGTGAGAAAGCCGTGTTGGGCATCGAAGAGGAAATGATCCTGCTCAGGGAACTGCATCAACGTTCTCTCCATGATATTTCAACAAACTGAGATAAGACCAACTGGCCTATAATTCTTCATAGACGCCCTACTTCCACTCCTTATTAGCGCAGCGGTTTTGAGGACTTCTAATCAGAGGGTAGGCACCCAGTAACAAATTACGCCTGGAACAGTAAGACAAACGACGTGCCTATTTCAGAAGCCACCTCCTTAACCAGCTTGGCCGACACTTCATCGGGGCCTGGGGAGGTCGACTTGTTCAGGTTTACCAACTTTTCCCGAATGAGTGTTTCAGTAAAGGGGGCTGTTTCAATAGTAGACATTTCCTCGTCTTCATGAGTGGATGAGAGGAAGTTGGGTTCTCGCGTTACGACTGATCATATTATCGGAATGGCGGACTAATTGTCAGGCTACAAGTGACTCCGTTGTAACGTGGCCCCTATCGCACTCCCATTCCGTGAGATCCGGGCCGATTGTGGCGGCACGCTTAGGGACGTTTCCGTTCGCGCCAGCTGACTACGGCCTCCCCCGTCTTCCGTCGTTTTGACCTGATCATGACATGGTTCCAGGTTTGGGTGAGGGGGGAGTGCGTAAGATGCTTCACACGTCTGCAACCACTATAAATTAGTTCACGCGTAGGTCAGAGCCGTTGCTCTCACCCTGGTGTAGTGAATGCCGCAGACACCATCAAAATCGTCGGTCGAACTGCCGTCGTCATTATCTGAGATTTCGTGTCAAGATGATTGGTTTAAACATGTCGAACTTGCTACAGGTACAACAGTTCGGTCCATAACCCATCTCGTAGAATCGACATCCTTTGCAATAGACACACGTTTTCCTTAATTTAAAAAAGGCCTTGCAGGTTCTGGGTCCGATCCTGGGTGTAGCGCTGTCTCAGGTTTTGGCAAACAGCGCGCTTTCAGAATTACTATCTGCTTAGCACTACATAATAAAACTCCATGACAGTCTCGAATTTATAGGTTTCGATATACTTTATTCCTGAGATATGTGCACCTGGATACCAGACTGATGCTGCGACAGCTTTTTTTTAATGATCGGCGTGACCAATTGTAAATCGGTGAACCTGCACATTCTCACAGGACAATCAAAATTGTCAGTACTGTGGTCACTTGAGCGTCAAACACTTGGGATTTCGCATTTTTCTTCCTCTTATACTGCCACACATTAACGAAGGCTTCATTTTTCATTAAGCTTCGCTGTTTCCTATCCAGATAACCCTGGCGCGCAAACGATGTACTGATGTTCGACATGGAATGTTTGTCATTTAGTCGTATCGGGCCTAGTTGGAGGTTGTCTGTCTTGATGTATGTCAGCCTACTACTAATTTCTGAGGTTCGTCATTTTATTAATGTTATGACCCGCCTGGCACGTGAAATCCTGTGGAACGTATGCGCACTCAACCCTTGTCCCCAATACCAACGCGGCAGAGAAGGAGAACGCGACCGGCCACGAAACTGTGTATTAGGAAAATGTATGGACTGAGAAAGATGAGGCCGGGTTTTGAATCATTGCAGAGTCGTGCTTGACATTGATCAGCGTTTGGCACTCTGCTGCCAGCTTTTGGAGTGTGGTGGATTTGTTCTGCTGCACTTCGGACAGGAGACGTGTCCGGATATCAGCATCCTTGGGGGACTGGAGGCCGCAGATAAATATAAGGCATTTAAACTGGTCTTCAGTGAGCGAACCGAGTTGGAAACGCCCACATTCACGATTAACAATGCCCGCATATGTGATGAAATCATCGGAATCTCGTTTGCACAGTTGCAGACACTGAAATCGAGTGTTGAAGAGGGATGATTGCTCACCAAAAATCTGCGACAACGTCTCAACCGTGTCCTTGAAAGCGACCTCTCGGGGATTCTTGGGGAGGATGAAGTTTGCATAACGCTCGTGTTCAGCCGCATCCAGTTTGCGAAGAAGGAGTCGAACCTTCCATGCATCGTCCTGGGCAGCCAGATCGACCGAGAACAAGTCCTCGTATCGTTTGTACCAGGACTCAAAGGTGATATGGGCCTGCGGGTCATACAGGAATTCAGTGATGCTGTCGGCAATGTGATCAACAGATTGTGAACCACCAGCCGCGCTTGATTGGCCCATGGATGAATTGGATAGCTTGACGGTCAGAGCCTCCATCAGCTTCAGCTGCAGCTGCAACATCTGCTTCAAGTCTGCGTACTCGTCAGCCATTGTAGTTGAAAAACTGCGTCGTCAATTTGTTATGACCCGCCTGGTACGTGAAATCCTGTGGAGCGTATGCGCACTCGACCCTTGTCCCCAATACCAACGCGGCAGAGAAAGAGAACGCGACCGGCCACGAAACTGTGTATTAGGAAAATGCAAGTCAAAATGAACTGGAAGTAACGCGTATTTATAACGCCTTACGGTGCTTCGCCGGCGTTCGGCCCAATGCCCTTCGGGAAGAACATTCGAGACGAGCCAGTCGATAATTCGAATATGCTGATCGATCAGGCCCGAGAGGGTAAGCCAATGGAGAGGCGCCACGAGTAAGATGACAGCGCAGTGGAGAAAACGCACGTGGCCTCCCGTGATTGGCTGGCTCTTGTTTTTGGGAGTGTAGGCGCTCCCAACAATTAACCTGCTAATTTCTTCATATGCTAGATGGTTAAATTAAGACTGGGTTAAAAAGACTTTATTCTCATTCATTTCAACCCGTTTTATCCTGCATATAGCTTCGTTTTAAGTATTTTTCTTATTTGGCTGACCAAGCCAGTTAACCATTTCCAAATGCTTCATAGCATCCTCGGGCAGCTGTTCTTTATGGGACAAAGAATAATGGCCAGTGTGCACTGCAGAACATTGCGGTTTCCCTCCCGTCGTTAGATTCCATGATATCCTGTTGACACTTTCGTTGCATGTTAAGGTCTCCAGTTTACCACAATTGTATTCCGTTCTGAAGACGGTTCTACCGGGGAGGACACGAAGAAGCAGTTTTTTGGCTCACCATTATCGTCACTTGCAGTAGTGGCGAAGAGCTCTGAGGAGCATTTTGTCGAAAAGCTGTTAACATAATCCAATGAATGTCATCTTCATCTGCATTAAATGTTGTCGAAATCCGCAGATGCTCAGTTCAACAGTTCTGCCAGATGGTAGACGACGGTTTATATAATTCTGTTTAGCTGTTATTTGTGGTCACATATTCGTTGTCAAACATGCCTTATTACCCGATTTCTAGGGGCCACGGCGCACCGTCACAAGTGTATTTGGTTCGAGTAGATAGTTGGCCTTCTTAACTTCTCCTTCTCCGAAGTCGATTCCTCAGTTTTACGTTGTCCATATCCGATACATTTATGAAATAGCATTATGTTGGATATTCGAAGGTAATTTAAAGCTTTTTGCGTCCGTGGTCGCTATCTGTGACAGGAAGGAAAATCCGGCGTTAGCGACAAGGGAAACTTTTTTTCCGTTTTTAGATATTTATCTCCGACGGTTTATTCAACGCAAAAGAGATGACAGGTTTGAATACATAGTAAACCCAACTTGTATTTTCCAAGGATGTAGAAACCGACCTAGATTATGGCTGATGTTTTCGGTTGCATAATCTGGGAAGTCGTTTAAAACTGTCCGTAAAACCTGATTCATACAGAAACACTGACGATGAAGAGTTCCCCCCGTAAATGCTGCTTTGGTGAAAACTCCTAACCTTGCGGTTCTGCTCACTTCAGACATCAACCCAGTTAGACGAAAATGCTGGAACAGAACAGCAACCACTAAGGTCTGTCTAGCCTTACTCCTCTCCACTTTACGTGTCTTGACCATCATAGCCGTCGATGGCCCTAGGGGCTTCCAAACCATTTCTTATGCTGAACATATGGACGAAGACGTTTTTATTTAAAACGTTAGTTTAAACAATTTGACTTCTACGGCAGCTCGTTTTTCGAACATTATGGTTGCAAGTTAACCTGCTACCTTGGTCTCCCATCTCCAGTTTTGGCCAGAGAAGGTCTTGGGTTTGAACTATAGTTTAAAAGGGGAAAATTTAGAAGGGAAGACTTGTGAAATGTTTAACAACGATGGTTATGAAGGTTATTTAAAATAATGTTTTGCTTTCAGGATTTTGATATCTGATTCCAAATTGGAATTAAATATTATTGAACTAGTATTTGACTCGTATGCAGCAATCTAGATCTTTGGGGATCCGCCTGGTACTTCTCCTGCTTCTTATTCTTCTTCTTCTTCTTCTTCTTCTTCTTCTTCTCCTTCTTCTTCTTTTTCTTCTTCTTCTTCTTCTTCTTCTTCTTCCGTACTGTGGTTAGGGTTCTGGTCCACCGTATCGCCTTCTGGCCCACATTCCTTCTCACCGGAAACATTTGTCGCATCTTCGACGGCGTTCATAATCACCTCCAAGAATCCAGGCATAGAATAAAGGAAGTTGCCTTAACAATAAAAAGTTGGTTGTGGAAAATACAGAAAACTTTCCTTCAACCACGCTTGTCGTTGGAGTTGATCTTCCAGCAGTCACACGATTTTTACAGCTATTAGGGCACTGCGGAGCTGGAAACTGCTGTCAGGAAGAGGGGAACTGAATCTTCACACTTGCCTTTACACCATAACCCTACCAAGTATCGAAAAGTCCGTCTCTAACTATTTGGACAAAGGCTCGGGTTCCCATCATATCTGCCAGTTACACTAACACAATCTTACTAAGAGGCTTTTACGGATCAATTCATCCGTTCTTAATGAAATAAGAACTTCCTATAAAAACTGTTTCTCGCTGGCAGTGATGGAAGGAGTCTATAATTCACTGGAAGAACTTATTCCAGCAATCATCTATCGTTAGGGTTGGGGGATTCCATACTAACAGCTCAGGTACTAGCCAAAAGCCCATACGTGCGTGCTTCGTCGATACTCTGCCGCGGAATGACACAGATACGAGGGGTCCGGCTTATCAGTGGGTCCCTCAGCCTTCCCTGTCTGCTTTATGCTAGATACTCGGATTTAGACATTGCTGCTTTTTAATTCCCTCAGAAATTAACTGCGAATTTGGAGCAGATCAGTATATTCTAGGTCTATAGGCTCCGACTGCAGTTTTTATGCATGAATATTTGGCCCGAAGTCCATGGTCCATCTGACTTGGTAAATGTGACAAAGGGAGTAGAACTGTGTTCAAATCTCGTTGAAAACTATGAATTTGACGCTGGTGTTGATATTCCAAAAGTTGCACAAAAGAAGTTTTGCTTCGCATTTGTTCCATCGTCTACCACCTTCTTTCTGCACTTCATTTGAACCTTCAGGTACACACATTCGGTTTACTACCCTCAAACAGTATTATAAAAATAGCACGACAGTTCTTTCCACTCTTATACTAGATCACCAAGATCCAGAACTTAAGTAAGTTTAGGTAAGTTAAGCACAGGTGGTGTGCTCTTCAGACTTTCTTATCTGAATACCATTGCGACCTCACCAGATTAATGGCCGCCACTAACGAAGGTACATAAGAGACAATTCAGGCTAGTCCTCCGATCTGTATCCTCAATAAAAAGCGTACTTGAAATCTAAAATGGCCCTCCTGTGACCATTTTTGGGAGTTATCGATGCCGTGGTTGGAAAAACATCCGAATGACTGTTTATGTTCCCGGCTTTACCTGCACATATTGAACCAGAATTCAGGCAAAACGCAAACCTGCTTCTCACACAAATTGTCTGCAAACATAACTCCACTGAAATAGGTCGAATAATCTCCTTATCGTATCCGGTTATTTTCACCCTATGTACAGTATATTGCGTAACCTGACACGGAATAAAGAGTTTTAAAGGCGTTGTTCTGATATCTTTTAGTATACGCGGTACACAATTGTAAAAAATCAGAAGCTCGATAAATATACTTTAATAGAGTAATTTATTAATCGCACCATTCTTTTAAGTCACAAGTTGTACGCTATTACAAATAATATTCAAACCATTGCTTACCATCCGCAAGGTATAGGGAATGCCAAGCTGAATTGTACTAAGGCAGTCTTTTTGACTTGAGCAAGGACAACGAGGCGGTCCACCGTCAACTGCTTTCGGAAAACTTCACGTTCGTGGTTTGCTAGTATGTAGGGATAGTTGGATTAGGAAGTACCACTTAACTACACTTTGTGCATATGTGTTCGATCAATGAAAAACATGGTCATGGCACTTAGTAACCCGTCTACCCAGCAAGAAGCGGAACGTGTAAATTATGGATTTGACGCAACATCTCCCCGGAATGAATTTAAAGCAAGCGTAGGCATATGCAAAAAGCTAGACTATTTGGTAAACCTCAGCTTGCCCCGGCAAATCTGAACCTTTTTGATTTGCGCAACCCCTCGGCGTGTTAACTTCCCCGTCTTCTTTTCTATGCTGCATTTTCTAGTTACCATGTTATTGATTGGTTAACGATGACCTTGCTGTTCGAAACTGATTTTCTCTGTGAAAGTTCAAATCTCTATATCTTCCTCACCTTTTATCTGTGTTATGCAACAACAGGTGGCGGTTGGTAAGCCGTCGCGAAATTTATGGATTCCAATAACTTCTGCTGTCTATGCTTGCCTCATATTATGAGTTTGTTGATGGATCTTGAATAAAGTGCCTGAAATCGCAGTCTTTTGTGGACAGTCGAGAGTTAAATATAAAATCACGCCTAAATACAAAAGATGCCGATGAAGAGAAATTTGGAAATTGCAACAACTGCCAAACTAGTGCAAGAATTGCAATGCTTGCCAACGGCAACAATGGCACGCAAGTAGCATTATCGTATAAAAACGCTTACGATACATTTCCGAGTGAAGTTGCCATGTCGTTCGCACTTTCGACCAGTGGCCCATCAAATGCTCCTCGTAAGTGTTGTCCTGATAGTGCGTTTGTGAAATCGACAAGGTCTGTGTGTTAGTGCCGGAAGTCGTCGTGGTCGGATCTCCTGAAGAGTCCTAACACTGTTACGATGACTTTCATAAGTCTGCTTGCAGATTCCTCCAAGATACAATATCATTTGTGAAATGGACACTAAAAAGGCGGACATATTTCTCCCATAAAGGCCTGTCCCGAATACATGGGCTGATTCTCGTAAGCAGCAACATAATATTGTCAAGTCCGAGACAAACTGAACGAAGTACTGTCGAATGTTGTAAACTTAAATTCTTTTACACCAATGCTCAGAGTCTGTTTTCCAAGCTTGATGAACTCAGAATACAGGCAACCGATACTCC